CCCCAAAACCCCAAAACCCCAAAACCCCAAAACCCCAATTTCAATATTAAAAATTGAAATATGAAGTTAGACAGAAATTCTTTGGCTATAATTTTTAGTTATCTTAGCCTGAAAGAAAGGATTAGAATCCTTCTTTTCTTATGCCACAAGACTAGAGCGGAGGTGTACTCAATTTGTACAACAGATTTATTACTCTCCCATCAGCTTTATGACTTCAGTAATAAATAAAACGACAGATTTTGTTCAGCAGGTGGTGATTTCTAATCTTTCACTAGTGAAAAGCATCGTGTTCGACTCTCTAGATCTCAAAAATGTTGAGTATCTGGCTGATCTACTAGCAGAAATTCCCCAAAAGAAGCTTGAAAGAACTGAAACAGTGTGCTTCCAAGATATAATTTATCAACCACAAGAAGACAACGAGAATGAATTTAACAACATACAAGAGCTAGTGAAGGATGGTATCAATAAACTCACTCTCGACATTCAAAGAATCACATTTTCTAATTGCTCAGGATTAGTCTGTAGCTGGGTCCTGACTTTCATTGAAATCCCTAATCTCAGAAGCATAGAGATTACTTCAATCTCCTGCTCCTTCGTTGAACTACTCAGTAAAATTTTTAAAAGATGTTCTGACTTTGAATCACTTAAAATAATCAACTGAAAGGTCAACAATAAATCCAAGCTTCGCTTGTTGAACTCTTCTCTAGCTCAGGTTTTACCAAATCTAAAAGAGTTTGCAATAATTAATTCTTCGATACAAGAATTTCTTGGCGAAACCTTTACAGAACTTATTCCTCGCAAGATGGATCCAGGTCTAGACTTGATGGATCGTAAGAAACTTTCTTTAGAGAGTTTAGCTCTCGAAGATGAGACATTGTCAAGATCCTAATTTTGATAATCTGGTTATTGATCTTCTCAGACTTTGAGATAAAGACCTCTTGAAGGGATATCACATCAGTTGTGGGAACAAGATTAATCTTTCCGCTTTCTCAGAGTCCCTCAGATCACTTTTTGATGAAATCGGAAAATTCACAAACCTTGAAACCCTGAAAATCAATGGTCTCGATCTTGACCAAGAAATGATGGCTCCATACTACAGCACCATCCACGACCTTAAAGGATTAAAATAACCTTGACTTATCCAAAAACAACCTGAACCTCCAAGCGATCAAAGAAATCCTTCTCCCAAACTCCGACCACTCTGCCCTAGAAGAGTCCAAATCAGTCTACGGTAACTCCCCACTTCCTTCCCTTCTAACCCAAACAATCTAGAACGCATAAACCTGACTCGCAACTTACTGACCAAAGAAGACTGAAAATACCTGATCTGCACCAAACAATGAGTCTCATGTTGTCTAAAAACCCTGGATCTATTCCCCCAAAAAGAAGACGAAGACCCCTTCACCCAGCTGGTCAAGGCAATGACCGCTTAGATATCAACCAGTGAGCGGAAACTTCGAGGTTAAGTGGGAACAAGAGGGGTTTTAGAATTCAATTGTAGAAGGAATTTTAGGGGTTTTGGGGTTTTGGGGTTTTGGGGATTTATTGTGTGC